GGGGGGGGGGGGGGGGGGGGGGTCATAATAATAATAAAAAACACAAACAGAATAAGGTGTAGAAACAGAATGGAATGTGGTTGTGAAGCAGTGTGTGATGTACCTCTCTTTGAGAATAACCTTGTTTTCTTTTTTCCAATGGTCCTTGAAATCAGAGGAGAACTCGTGCCAGACGGAGAAGATTGTGTTGGGTGAAATCTCCTTTTCTCCTGCCTTAGGTTTCACTGAGTAGAACACTGTAAGGTCCAGGAACCTGACACAATCAAAAGCCACAATCACTTTGTTTTTTGTTTGCATAAAATGCTAGTTCTTTAATTTTCACTGTTTCAGGCTGCAGTGGTTTTTTAATAAACAGGTTCTTGAACTGGTTTGTTCCCACATTGTTCCCATACACATACACTTCCTGCATAATTGTTGTTTGTTTGAAATGAAAAAAAGAAACTTAAATCAAAAAGAAAAAATAAGTAGGTCCTCTGGATGGGTTCCTCTTTAATGAAACATTTCATCTCTCCTCCAGAGACTTCTTCAGTCTGATGAGTTTCAGGTGAACTCAGCCTTAAAAGCACTGCCTCCACATGGTGGACAAACAGGTTAGTCACATGCAAAAGAGGACCATTGACTAATAATAGGCTTGATTGGCTCTATTGTTCATAGAGGGTGATGTGCAACATCTCCTGACTTAAGGTTTGTTTATACTTCATGCAAGACATGTGGCTGCGGCCCAGCGATGATGTGATTGCATGTGTGTCACTGACAGCATTCAGTGTTTACACTGGGAAAAGACGTGGGGGATACATTACAGTAATCCCTCCCTCTGCCCTCCCACCGCAGATGTCACGCGCTAGCTTAGCATGTAAATAACTGCTAGTTGCTAAAAAAAAACTTGCTAGTTGCGAGTTTAGCTTGTGTGGGAGATGGATGATGAAAAACACTTCTCCTATTTTCAAATGTCCGCTGCTCGTTTCGAGGAACTTGCCCACCGGATCTTTTTTTGTTTTTCCTACTGGATCTCCCCTCACCTTCAGCACGCACCGACGCAGTAGAGGACACAAATGTTATACCTCTGGACCGCCTCGGTGAGTTTCTCTTCCAAATTATCCATGTTCAGAAACAAAAAACAGCTTCTGGTAGCGAGTAGCGTGTAGCGGTGTCACACAGCACAAAAACGCCCACAAACTTTGAAACAATCACACACTCCGCGCCGCATCCTCCACGTCTCGGAGTGCTGACTGGAGGCAATGTATAGGAAGCTGTCAGCGGGGGGTAGCAGCCGGAGTGCAGACGGAAGTTGTGTAACTTTTTTTCACTCAGCGGGTGGTAAAAGACGTGCGACAAGAAGTGTAAACCAGCCTTTGTTGGTTTGGATGCTGTGGTTCTTAGGTGTCATGTCATGTGTATGAAGTGAATGCAGGCGGGGCTAAAAGCCCCTTTGTTTTTGTTTTTTCCCTCTGTGTTGGTATCAATGGGGCCCTGATTCACACCTTTTGCTCACAGGGGGCGGAGTCATACTTGCAATAACAGCGTTGTAGGAGGAGGACAACTGTACATGAAGGCCTCCACCTCTGTTTAATGATGGACGGTTTTTCTTCACAAAGATGGTTTCCTTTACTCCTCTCAAACCAACGTTCCTCTCTATCAAGGATGAGAACATCTTCATCCCTGAAAGAGTGACAGCTGGCCTGCAGATGAGTGTAAACTGCAGAGCCCTGACCTGTAGATTAGTGTAAACTGTAGAGTCCTGGCCTGTAGATGAGTGTAAACTGCAGAGTCCTGACCTGTAGATGAGTGTAAACTGCAGAGTCCTGACCTGACGAAGTAGATCGTCTGTGCTGGCTCATTCTTTTGAACAGTGGCTGTTTTGTTTCCCCGATGTATAACTGAGCACAGTCCTCCTGGCACTTAACAGCATACACTATATTACTCTGTTTTTGCCAGGGAACTGGATCTTTGGGGTGAACTAATCTTTGTCGTAACGTTTTGGGGGTTTGAAAGCCACTGGGACATAATGTTTAGAAAATAAACATCTCAGCTTCTCCGAAACACCCACAACATACGGAATAACCACTGGTTTGGTTCTGGGTTTAGGGTCTTCATTTTCACCTGGTTGTTCGGTGGAATCCTGTTTGGGTTTCTTGTCTGCTTTCAGAAAAGCCCAGTTAGGATAACCGCACTGCTCCAGGGCCTGTCTTGTGTTTGACTTCTCTTTCTCCTTGGCTCCTGGGTTTGTGGGGACACTGTCTGCTCTGTGGTACAGAGTTCTGATGACTCCTAACTTGTGTTCCAGTGGGTGATGGGAATCAAAACGCAAATACTGGTCTGTATGGGTGGGTTTGCGTGTCCAGTTGTCCTCCTCCTACAACGCTGTTATTGCAAGTATGACTCCGCCCKCTGTGAGCAAAAGGTGTGAATCAGGGCCCCAACGATAACCAACACAGAGGGAAAAAACAAGGGGACATCGAGCCCCGCCTGCATTCACTACATACTGTACACATAACACGACACCTAAGAACCACAGCATCCAAACCAATAAGTCAGGTAATGGGGCACATGACCCTCTATGAACAATAGAGCCAATCAAGCCTATTGTTAAGCAACGGCCCTCTTTTGCATGTGACTAACCTGTTTGTCCACCATGGGAGGCAGTGCTTTTAAGGCTGAGTTCACCTGAAACTCATCAGACTGAAGAAGTCTCTTGGAGAGAGACGAAACGTTTCGCTAAAGAAGAACCCGTCCAGAGGACCTACTTATTTTTTCTTTTTGATTTTTTCTATCTGGATTACTGAGATGCATCAGGACAAGAAACTTAAATATGCAGATTTTGCCACTACTCTTCATACTGAAATTTTATGTCAATATAAATAAAGTATTTACAAAACAATATACTGAAGGTGAACATTGAAAAATGTAACAAACTCTTTAGCACCGCTGCTCATCTGTGCAGTCGGTGAATATTAAAGAGTGGAAACAGACATGGGAGGTTGGGGCCTTACAGTTTGTGAGTGCTGCCAAGTTGAGTATCCAGGGTCTCCAGCTCACTTTTAGCTTAAAAAGGGAAAAGGTGAAAGAGTTAGGGCAACAGATTAAATATAAGAAAGAACTTTAATTTACTGTGTTCGCCTGTCAGACAAACATTCTAAACAAAATATCAATTCAATTCAATTCAGTCCAGTTTATATATATATA